TTCCTCTAATCCGCCGGACACTTATTAATTTCAAACGCTTAACTCCATATTTGTCCTCATTCTTTGGGGTATGATTGCACATCCGGTCCTCTACGGTTTCCTACTGCAGCTAACTTGATAATACTAAGTTTCCAACCAAGTGTGTTCTTTGATTGCGTACTGTGGTAGTTAAACACTCTGCAAATGGAGCGACTCATATGCGGTTTGCTGATAAGCTTTTTGTTGTACTGTGCTCAATGAGGTAAAAAGAACCTGCTTTATTCGGCTTACCTTAAGCCCGTACACAGCCGGCACATGTGCCATCAACCGACATATGTCGTTCCCACCCACCTCACGCATCTGTTCACTGTCGCCCCTACACGAAACGTCCTTCATTCATATAATACAAGTTCATGTCGACACCGTTCCATTGTCCTCAAATGACAATTATGATTAATGTTTTGATGTTTCCTCACAACTCCTCTTCTGTGTATGTGGGATGGTCAAGTGGCAACGCTTATCNCATATAATACCATGTCGACACCGTTCCATTGTCCTCAAATGACAATTATGATTAATGTTTTGATGTTTCCTCACAACTCCTCTTCTGTGTATGTGGGATGGTCAAGTGGCAACGCTTATCACGAGGGTCTATAACCTTCGTCCTGTATAGTTTACTAGCGTGACGGTGGGAACGTCCTACTCTGTGCAGCCGGAACAGGTGATAATGACTGACCTGTGGAGCGTAATACATACTTGATCATGTGGTTCGTGCCGAAAGCTCCAACTTCTCCCACTGTATTCAGACCAAAGCCATGGAACCGCGGATTAACATCAGGCGGCGACTTTGTTCCCACGCTAGGACAGAAATACGCTAAACTAACCATCCGATGAAGCGTCTCACAACGAGCAGCGATCCTGCAGGATATTAGTAGCTCCGTTTTCATATTTACCTAGGATTATACCGGGTTTACACACCGTCACATCTTAAGCGAGCCTGCCCAACAGGATTCCCTCGAATGATATTGAAGTGTTTTGCGAGACAATCGGCAACCTCAGTGATTAAGGGAGCAGCCAACGACATACTGGGAGCTGGCATTGTTTTGAGTCTGGTTTTGTCATGCCACACCTTTTTTCAACTGTTTTGATGCACTTCGAATTTATTGACACTTTTCATCTGTGCTTATCGATGAAATCAATAAGGTTTTAAGGATGGTGAAGCGTCTTTGCAGCACCAAACGTGTTCTAATGACCTTGATTCACATTGTTACATTTCCTTCGTTCCGGGATGGCTAGATGCAGGCTGTATCGATCCATTGTGCGATGTTTGCGCGTGTGCGGCTACGCAGGCGACTGCGACGTCGCGAAAGTCAACAGTGCATGTTACAGGATTTCACAAACTAGACCACGTGACCCGATTTAGGTCGTCTAATGTGCGCAAGGGCAATCTGTCTCTCCTTGACTGTCAGAGCGATGAACACTCCTAGCCTCTATGGGGGAGTGGTCCGGTCACAATCGGGTATCTTAGACATGAATATGAGATACAATGTGCATTACATTACCGTGGATTATGACTGTCCCCTTTGTTCTTAGGTAAGCACTCTCGGTTTCCTTACAACCCATGTCACCTGAAATTCCACATGGTGTTTGCCATTTAGAAGCTGGTAGCTTCCCAATGTATCGGTCGATTTCGCACTCTAGCTAATAGGAATTCACGGTGTGATGGGTTCAATCATAAGTTTCAGCTCGTATTGATTGATTAACCATAGAATGCGTTTACTGTAGAAAAAACGTTGTGACAACTACCCGCTGTTAGCGCTGATCTTTTTTCGTGTTCCTCGCACCTTACTATGTTATGCGGCTACATTCACAGAAATGGGATCGATAACTACTTAAAAAAGGTGAATATGCTCAACGGCGATAGCTTACACGGGAGTTCTATCGCTTATCTTTGGAGTGGGGGCAGCCATTACACGAATTCGCCGGCAGCATATCATTATGGCAGGGTCACCCACTGGTACCCTGTGAGACGTCCAATAACTGAAAATGTGCTTGAACATCATAAGTATTGAGTTCGAAGAGAGAGGGAGCTGGGAAAGCCTGAATAGGAAGCAGATGGGGCGGGAGAGCACAAGTCAGACACTGCCCCTGTAATCTACATCTACGTTTGAGCTTTGTGTGTTGGATTTTCCTCTCAGCGGTCAGCTAGGCTCCAAATAACCTTCGATGCTACGCGATACCTTCGTCAGTTCAATGGTCCAAGCGCAACATATCTGCCCGCGGCAGCAAGCAATCGACGTATAGTGAGTTACATCCAAAGGTGATAATATTAAAATAATCGTTTAGCTGTAACAAACTTGCGGTGCCTAGCTGCCACGCCAACTGAAGGAAGCACGAGGGCTGAGATACTGTCAGATGGCCCAAACCTAGACAGGAGCATTCGAGATACCGGGGTGGGTCCGAACCACGGACCCTCTCAACCACTGGGCTACCTTGAACTTCAAGGATTTTGACTACCAGCGCTGCTGAACCGTCTTCCGGTTGGAACTTATTAAGAGCGTACTTTGCCGATGAAAAACTAGACCGCGTTTTTCATATTTTTAGTGAACGGAATTTTGAAAATCCTTTCCGCCTGTTCACTTCTTGATACATGCGATGCAGTTATGCTGTAGTGTTCCTCGACAAGGGCACGTTAATGAAGGCTTCTCAGTAGTCCGCTATGGTTTCATCCACTGAAGAATCTTGGGTAGGGTTGTTATGCCAATCCGGAAATAGCCAGTAATGCAGCATCAACTAACAAAAAACCAATGAAATGAGTATCTTGTGGTTGAATTGTTGGCATTTGAATTGGAATATCGGTTGATATTTCAGTGATTTAAGAGGCGGCCTCCGTCCTCCATGGGGCTAGGAAATTCCTGCTTAAGTGGGTTCTTCCCTACGGTTGAGAGAAACCGTCCTGTGATATCTCTTGGAAGCTTACCTCTTGGCGGTTTAGTTTTACAGTTATGATAACGAATTAAATACCTTCATCACTTTTTTATATCATAGTAACCGACCGTTTCTGTTGTTCAGCTGTCCGTTTCACGGTTTGTGGGGCTACTGCTGTAGTAGTACATCCAGTGGGTATTTTCGCACTCTCGTACATCATTCTCAGCTTTTACTTAGCAAATAATCAGGTGTCCGATTTTGGGCCCAGATAAACCGTAGTATTATTTTAAGAAAAGTAGCGTTGTCTTCGGTAGAGAATGTTTTTGTGGTACCAATTCCGTCAATATCTAGGATCTGCGCTCCTTTTCGTATGCGTTTCAGTCTGGATTTATGGATAACGGTAGTGATGCAAAGATAGGCCGTTGATGTCATCTGGTCTGACACCTTTTAGTCGCACACCAACAGCATCTCACGCCACCATATATGGGTACACAATCTCTCTTACCTTCCAGACATATAAGTCTTTCAGGAAGCGGCTTATTTTTTGTATCCCAGAGTCAGTTAGGCATCAGTTGAATGAGCGACGATTCCTGCGGCTGCTGAGAAGGAAGCGGAGAAAAGACCTGACTGGGATTTTTTCTGGTTCTTGGTTGATCAGCAAATCTCGATAAGCTTTTCGCAACGCTTCCGTGTGCACCTAAACCCACATAATCAAGTTTAGAGAGTTTGTTTGCCTTGTTCTCACCGGTTGTCTCCCCACTTTTACCTTGTAGTAATAATATTACACTCTCAGGTGATCCTGTGTTGCGGTGCCCGAATTCCCATTACACACAAACAAAAAATCTCCATCCTGCCTACTAGCCATCAGTTGGCCTGACACTACTCTGTCATCGGGAAAGAATGGTGGAAAGAAAGGCCTCAAGCGCAAACGAAAAAAATGCATAGAATTGGGCGGTGGTCAACGCGTGTAACGAATTGTCACAATCCAATTGGCACTGACAGCCGGTTTACACTTTCATCTTATCCTACCATCGTGTTTTAGGTTGACAATGCTCAATTCTCGCTCTATGGTTTGTGAAAGGGCATATTGGTTTTTGTCTTTGTTCGCATTGGTGAGCGCATTTATCTGTTTGTGCATACACACACACACGCACACACAATATCCATTTTCGCTTTTGCTGCCGCGTAGGTGATCAGGCCTAAGTTGTTTCGTGGCAGAGAAACGTCAGCGTTTGTTGCCGGTACTGGAGGGGTGGGAGGGGAGGAAGATAGTGGGACGAATGAATGTACCTTAGTCCACGGTCACTCACGGCGTTCTGTCATTATTTTTTGTTCGTGTCTATCACCGCGTTGTGCTGTTCTAGTTCGTTACGACGCGCACACACAAATGCACCTACCGTCGTGGTAGATACGATCTCCGATGCACATAGCAGCTTGCTCAATGTCAGTGCGCAAATTTCTGGGTAGAACATGAGTTTGTATGCTCGATTGCAAGGCAAAGTGCTTTAACGTGTCCATTGACAACCCGTCGCGTAAATGATGGTAAGCAGATACTGCGATTCGTTCCCGTCAGCGGCGTTCTGAAACGGGTAGTCAGAGCTGATGGCTCATACGGGGACGAATCAGACAACCAGACAGTATTCGAGGTAAAGGTGCAGTAAACATTTGATCTAACAACGGAACTCCAAACACCGGATGGATCGAATCAGTCGGTAATCTTAGAACCAAATCCAAATGCATACTGGACTCATCGTGACCCACGGCAATGCCTAGTTGGGTTTCCATGTACTCGAACCACCAGATGGGCTCCAAACGGTTGCAGGAGGTCTGCGGACTTTTGTCTGCCGTTCACTGCTGATTCAACAGAAGTCCTTCTAGCGCGTCAGTGCCAATCAGAAAATATGTTTCAATATTTTTCTTTGCCTGCTTAGGGGGTTCTCTTCAATGAGAAATTGGTCGTTGACGATGGGAATGTTGAGCCAACTTGTCCGCCCATTCTGAAAGTCAACTGAGAACAACTCGGCCAGAGCCCCAGTTTCGTGGTTATACTTGAACAACTACCTGCTTGCATAACAGTGAAGTTAGTGAAGAGACTATCCACCAGTTGCTTTTTTGGAGAGGAACAACTGCATGCACCCTGTCCATTTGCCGATGGTCATAGGAAATGGCTGAATAGGTTAGAAATGACCAACAAAGTGTCACTTCAGACACATCTAACCGCTAATTTGACATCAAGACTAGATGTACAGCTGACCTCAGCAGCACATATACGTGACCCGATAGACACGTGCGCACGTGTGCACACGTTGGCCGGGTAGATAGACATGTTTATGTTTTCCTGTGCCTTGTGTTGTGCGAGCGAACCTAACAGTTAAACCGTAAAGTGGAGACCTAGGACTACCCCGAGGATGTCGGGTTTTCCACATCCGATAGACTAGAGTTTTGGCTGTTTTTTCTCCAAATTTGGTAGACAACACAGCCCGAGAAAGTCAGTCTGACAGAACAGCTGTACTTTTTTAAATTGTGGCTTGACCACTGAACGCAAATGCATCGGATATCAGACCACAATAGTCGCCATAAGTGATGTGTGGCAGTTGCTCTGCTTCCCGCGGTCTGTTTGTGCTACGTCGGATCTACATTCCGCTTCTTGATTTCCGAATTGGTTGTTCATATGGGATGGAGATTGGGTGTATGGGAGACATTCATATCCACCTCTCTGAGGTCCTCCATGTAAACACCACTGCTTTCAAGGAATTACTTTTAATCTCACAAGAAAATTTTTATTGAATTGGTGAAAAACTTCCCTGAAAAGATCAGACTAAGATTGTCTTGTGCCTCCACTAATCACCTCAGTAAAACAGAATATGAAAATGACACTAACACAATTCAGTAACCTCAGTTTATTGTGCAAAATGTCGTTCCATGGGCGCTAACCATTTTCTCATGTTTGCGTAACTTCATTTTCTCTGGAGTGTATTTTCAGAGAGGAATCGGACCATCTCGTTATGTTTATCCAATTTCCGTTAACTGCACACCCCTGGTACCATATCTGTCGTTCCCAATCAGGCGACGATAATTTATGACGTTTTCATCTGGCTTATGATGTCATGCTGTCAGCAATTGGAATCGGTTATGAAACTTGAACTGAACATATCCTTCCAAGAGCTACTACACACCAACGCATCTACACCATCGTTGTCACTTCACCTTACGGTGCGCGTGACACTTATATTTCAGGATTACAGTTGTTCGGCTACTGAAGAGAATTTGAAAGATATGTCAGTTAGGGCTAGATGGGATATCTTATCAGAGCTTAGCGAACGACTCCAAACACTACTATGTTGGTGGGACGGGTCGTTTTTTTCATATCGAGTCCCTATGGCTCCTGTTTAACTGTTTAAAACTGATGGCATAACACAGCCACTTTTCTGATCGATTTCATCTCTCTGGAGCAGTAGTGACTAGGATTTCACAACACAACTCGTGAATAAAATTCCCTTCAGGAGGAGGTTGAATTCATTTATATGGTACTCGGTAGAGATCAGTCTGACCCTGCAGTCGGTTCGTAGAAACGACTGAGTTTTCATTTACTTGAGGCAAAGTGAGTTACCGCATCGCATGGACTAAAGTAGGGCAAGCTCTCCGTTTGTGTGGAAATCTATTCTCCCCCCATACAAAGTTCACTTCCAGACAAAGACCACTGATTAACAGTGAGATGACAGTGCTCCGATGAGGTCATTTTCGTCCTAATGTATCTCAGAAACGTAAACATGTTTTTTTTAATCATCTCCACCTCAGAGAGCCGTAGGAAGTCGATGAGTTCATGTGTTCATCTCTGAGGTCCTATGTGGATATTCACCTAATGGTTTTCCTTGGTCTTTCAGAGGTCTAGTTCCTCCTTATTTTCAGAAATTTTCCATCACAGTTCTATTCAGGGTTACGTCATTTACTATGTGAACACGAGAAACAAAGAAGGTAGCACTGCCGGTGGCTGCCGGACCTTTTTTATGTTCCTTGTAGCACCACTCTCCTGACTTAGTATCTGAGATGTGTGAAGTATTTATATAGTGTGGAATTTCTGACTCTGGTCCGTTAAAACATTAAGCCTGGCTTAAACACAAAGACGAATTTCGATCCAGTAACTATCACATTTGCTCAGGAGCCTCGCTGTCTTTGGTTTTGACCCGGTAGGCAAAGACAGTGTTTGAGTTTTACTGACCCAAAACTGTTTTCTCATAATACGAAAATCGCTCACAAGTGGCAAGTGAAAATGATCTAGCTTGCTACTTTTATTTTGTTAGTGTTGTACAAATGTGCTGCACAATGTGAACACATACTGCAAAGTACACAATAAGTTTAGCTCTAGAGAAATGATTTTTCTTGACTAGGTCGGGTGGGTATATGAAAGGTCACGATGTTTGTCGTTTCCAGTGTCCAGTTTGCTTCGTTTCATCGCTCTGGTCTGCAGTTGATTCTAAAGAACTGGTTCTTTGTCTGCTTTAGGGTGGGAGGTGCAAATGAGGGACTGAACCTTCCGATTTTGTGATTATGCACCAAAGTTACCAGGGTACTAGTTCATACACGGAAAAATTGAATGAAGATATGATGGCAGTGGTGTTGCAGCTAAAACCGCCAACTGTATGGTTCTTTTAGGTAACGATAAGAATGAAGCTCAAACCCTAAGTTGCGAGCAGCAAACATCACATTTTCCGTCGTGTAGATTGCGGCATAAATGCGGAATCGTTCCCACTGTTTGCAAAATTTTGGGAAGCAATCGCACACCTAGGGACGTTCAANGGTGGGTATATGAAAGGTCACGATGTTTGTCGTTTCCAGTGTCCAGTTTGCTTCGTTTCATCGCTCTGGTCTGCAGTTGATTCTAAAGAACTGGTTCTTTGTCTGCTTTAGGGTGGGAGGTGCAAATGAGGGACTGAACCTTCCGATTTTGTGATTATGCACCAAAGTTACCAGGGTACTAGTTCATACACGGAAAAATTGAATGAAGATATGATGGCAGTGGTGTTGCAGCTAAAACCGCCAACTGTATGGTTCTTTTAGGTAACGATAAGAATGAAGCTCAAACCCTAAGTTGCGAGCAGCAAACATCACATTTTCCGTCGTGTAGATTGCGGCATAAATGCGTAATCGTTCCCACTGTTTGCAAAATTTTGGGAAGCAATCGCACACCTAGGGACGTTCAAGTTTTAAGTTGTTTCCCACAACGATTCGAAAGCGACTACCAGAGTAGCTCTTGGATGGTTGATGGAACGGTTCACATGGATCTACTTACATTGAACCTAATGAGAAGGATAGCACAACGAAGGAATGATAATTGGTGTCTCCACGGCCGATTGGACGGATAACATTGGTTGTCTTTTAGACGTGTACTACTCTGACAAGAAAAGCCACACTACGGGGGGGGGGGTCACAGTTCTCTTAGCTTTCTACGAGCTTTAATATTTCTAGAGAGATCAACTCCTACTGACGGGTCTATTCCCTGAAGAATGCCTTTACCTAGGTCAACTACCAAAAGGTATAGGAAAAACTCGTCTCAAAGAAAATGACAAATCCGAATGGAATTAACAACGGGGCACATGCCAATGAACACGTGACCTCTGTGCTGTTTCACATCTGTTTATCCTCAAAAAACCAAGATGGACAGTGGTTTTATATTCAAATTCTTACTGTTCTATAAATGTTACGTACCAATGCACACTATACTTGGCTTTCTTCCTCTTAAACACTGTTCGTCATGTGGTGGTCGCCTAGCATTTTCACGTGATAGTTACTAGTTTTAACAAGTGTTGTTCGAATGGTTGGTGGGGACAGAATCAAACGACGTTTCAAGTTCGGGCAGAATTTCGGTGCACCTCTGTCTTGCTATTATTTAACCCGATTCGATGTCCTCTCTCGAAGAGGAAAGTGAGGCTTGCATTGCGAAATACGGTAGTAGGAATGCGACGATAAGACTCTCTAAAACTAGGACGGAACCCACACTTCAGTAGGGACTACGTTTAGGCAACATTTTGTGTGCTCCTGTAACTGACTGATTTTCATTTTAGACGACAACATTGCCTATATTCAGGTCATTTCGAAATGAGTAGATATTCCGGTAGTTCTCGTTTTCTCACCATGTTCGTTCGAATGACCTTGCACTCTCAAGTGTCAGTTTTCTTCCCGGATTAGTCTTTTCCAACTTACTCGAGGGTTATGACAACAGCGTAACTTCAGCCATCCTCGAGTTCGAGGTTTGCTTTTGTGTTCCTCATGGTGGAACACCCGGAGAGATATGAGACCCTCTGTGAGACATGTGACTATTCCCCCTTGATATCCAGTGATTGTACTTAGACCAGAGAATAGCAGACATGAATATGTCGGCAAGATAACCATACAACGGTTACTGCACCTGGTCTATTAGTCTCGTGTAACTACTGTTTCCCTACTCAGAAATACTTGCTGCACTTAACAATGAATCTTTAGGTGCTTTCCGATCACCTATTTGCTATAGATGAGAGGTCCTCTTTTCATACAAATGTGTTTGTACCTCTATTCAGCCATCAAATAGGACAATCTTAGCGTTTTCAGTAGGATCCACCTGGTTTTCTGCTTTCCTTTGATGACACAGCATTATCCCACATATGTAATACTTCCACGAGAGAGGCGGTCAAGATTAAAATGAGGGTAGTCAACCTCTTTATAGGTGTATCGGAACATGTGTTTCGGTTGGCATGGTATGGCTCGTTGAATCTTCAGGGCGGGCGTTCTGCGGAAGGATCTTCTCCCGGTAAATTACTAAGCCAACCACAACTTCAACCAAGAATTTGACCAAAACCATTAAGAAACATTCAGATATACGTCTGTTGGTTTCAAGGCCAACCCCCCCCCCTAAGCTTGGTCAGCCCGGATTTTTTTCCGTGTTTCGGCTTGCTTTCAACTTATCTGTTATGTGCAACCTACTTTTTACCCCAGTGTTGTTGCTACCTCTTCACAACCGGAATTTCCACTTAAGTTCATCAACCATTCACGTGAACGGGACTGTCTATCAGTTTGTTTGGCCTTTCCCGGTCCAAGTCGCCTAATTACGAGTCAAAGGATAGGTGGTTGGGAAATTCTTTCACCCAAGTACAACTTAAACCTATTTAGACCATAGGTAGACCATAGGAATACG